TAAACGCCTGCTTTTATCTCGTGGTACACGAATAAATAGCTTTTCTGGCGTTTTGCAAGTTGTACTAGGACACAGTGGCACCATACAGCATTTGTAATATTGTTTTTGTGTTGCTTCCATTATTAATAAAGCATAGCACGAGTTCTGAACAGTCAAACATCCAGACAATTCATTGACAAGCCGTATTTCCGTATTGCCTTTCGATCCGACCAGCGCTATGACGTCACGACCATTCCCGCGCGTTTAGTGTCGTTTCAAATGAATAGCCTGCGGTCACAACTTTAATTCTTTATTGCAAATTAAATATTGCGATTTGAGGGCTGATATTTGGTATGCGCGATTTCTATAGATAGACAAATATATTAAAGAAATTAAAAAAAAAAAGTTTAAGTTTCCCATTCTGAGCGCTATGGAAGCATGTTAACAGATTATTTTTGGAGATAAATTGAAGATTATGATCTGGAAGCCATGTGGATCCAGCAGGATGGGGCAAAGAGTCACACAACACTGGCACACTCGCAGTTAGAGCCCTATTGCAAAATAAATTTCCAGGACGCGTAATCTCGAGATTGAGTGATGTCAATTGGCCCGCAAGATCCTGCGACTTAACACCGTTAGATTTCTTTTTGTGGAGCCATGCGAAAGATCGTGTTTACGCCAACAATCCTCAAACTCTTGAACCAACTGAAAGCGAATATCCGTGAAGTTATGACCGAGGTATTTCCGGTAATGTGCCGAAAAATCATTCAAAATTACCGCAAAAGGATTGTTTAATGGATTGTATATGTACGTATACATATGGCATCGATTGTATATGTACGTATACATAATGGCAATGTTTAATCTTTATATTGAATTAAAATTTTCGTCTCCATCTGAATATTTTGTGTATTTTTTACCTTACTTTCCCAATCATAAAATGGATAACCCTGTATTTAAAAAAATATTTGCCCTAGCTTATAAATCTATTGAAGAAAAATACATTTCTTTTTCTGGCTAAGGAGTCATTGAGGYAGTGACGAGTTACAATAATTTTTAAATCCATTTAATTTCTGTGAATCAGAAAACACTCAATATTTTTTCTYAGGCTACGAGATCGCATTGTCGCCGCCTTTAGCACAATCGCATTCTTAAATGTTAAATCTGGATATTCGGAAGACAAGGTTTAGTAAAAACTAGCAACAATAACATGTATAAAATATTATTTTAATAAAAGTACGTAATGCTTTTGAATATATTTTGTAATGTTAAAAGCTTGCAAACATCTACATTTAGGTGTATTGGTAATATGATGGCGTTCAGATGGTAAAAATAACCAGGTAATTAAACTTTTCCTTCGCATAAATTATACGCCATTCTTGAAAGCAGGAAACACTGATAGTTTTTTTTTAGTTTTATGAAAACACCCTTTTATGTTCAATGGAATGTACCTTCTTAATAACAAAACGCTCGTCTTCCACGCTGTTTGCACAACGTAAACGCTTTTTAAATTATTCAAGAACAATCTATTTTAGATTGCAATCCGCAGGAACATTTCTTATCTTTGTGTSRTTATATGGGTCAGTTTTAATGATTTGGGATCAGTTTCCACATTTCATATCAGAAGGTGAAATGAAAATGGGAAATTGTCGAGTACTCGGAAGTGCTAGGCTTTACGCAAACATCAACCTGGCGCATTTTAAGAAAATATTTGGCTCTTAAACCTTATAAAATTCAGCTGATGCAGCAACTTAATCCRAGTTATTATAGACAGCAACTTGAGTTGGTTCGATSGGTACAGCATAAGCAATAAGTTTTTTAAAATATATGCATAGGGTACAGCATAAGCAATAAAGGCGATGGTTTTTATGAAAAAAWTATATTTACTGACGAGGTATTATTAAAAATGCAAGAAGAACYAGGAAAATGCTRTGCATAGTGAAAACTACGGACGTGCTAAACTGTTATTTTTAGGTTTCAACGTTCCAGTCCCATTCTGGTGGTAATAGGTTTCAAAAACCCGTTATAAAAGCAGCATGTTACTTTTAAAAATTTTCATTCAAAATGCGCAATAATGACGATGGTAGAAATAATGATAAAAATTATGTTGTTTATTAAAAAAAATAATTTTTAACATCGGAAAACTAAAAATAATATCTTCTTGAAACAAAACCAAAGCTAGAGGTAACTACTTAAAGAACGAAATAACTGATATTAAAATGGAAAGGATAAAATAGACTAAAATTTTTTCATGCAAAAATGTCAAGTAAACAGTAAGCCTAGTTCTTTAAAACTAAGAAGAATACAGACAGGTAGCTTGTGATATGGTTGGGCAGGGTTAAGCTCAGATTCACCTTCAGACTGTGCGTTAATAATTGTTGAATGTGCCATTAAATTTATAGCTCAATTACCCCGCTCCATGCGCTATTTGAAATTAGATACTGTAGACTTTGTGGATACGCTGGCAAAGTTGTTTCGTATATTTTACTGAGAAGCAATCCCATAAATAATTTGTATCCTGTCGCTTACTTTACTACACAATAAAACCAATTTAAAAGCCCACCTATATTTTTGAAGATTTTACCGCATAGTAGATTTAGTCGTACATGAGACGATATCCCAACAAATACGACAAAACCAACTAGCCCCGCACTATTCTTGCCAAAATAACATCAAATATTCATAACGTTCCCCAATCCGCAAGTCGTTCCACAATAACAACACAGCTTAGATTTCATCATACGATCTATACTGTGATAAAAGAGACGCTTTCAAACAATGTTTGCTAATCTTGGACTTAGAAGTTATTCCGGCACCTGCTCTAACCTGTGAGAGTAACGAGACTGAGTGAGAGCCGGCCTACTCTAGTTCTGTGGTATCTTACCGGCTCGGCGTACTTGTGACGTCAGAGTAGTCAGGCCTTGATTTGCGGGGGTGCCAGTTCTACCCGTTTTCGAGGTGTCGCGACGGTTCTGTGCTGGTGCGAACCCAATACCGTGTAAGGAATAAGGCCTTAGTGCGGAAATTTAAAAGCTAAATGACGTCAGGCGAAGTAGTCCAGTTTTTCGCCCGTAAACAATGTATTGAGCTGTAGACCAAATCAGGTTATGATTATTGAAGAGCGATTGCACCGGAGTTTCACCGCATGGAAGGTTTTCCGCGGGGTTGCAATGCATGAAAAAAMTTCTATACAATCAGATAAAATTTTTATYATTTATTGTCGACAGTTTTCATTAAAATACGTATATAACAGGGCCTATCCTGATTTGAATAAACATTATTAGTGATTAAGAAAGTATATTAGTCTTTGAATAATGCAATCGATAAAAACCTATGGCAACGCTGACTTCAAAGATACGAACAAAGAAGTTTGTAAATTTTCGACTCGGAAGAAGCTCACCTTATTTTTGGATTTTTTCAGCGAATTTTATTTATGCAAATTATAGCTTACAAGTGTTGTGTTCGGCCCTAAAGTACACGTTTTTAGCTTTGCGAAAGGTTGAAAAACAGTGGTTAAGAGCGGTACCGATTACAAATTTCCAACCCCAGAATAATTTTAAAGTGTATGAGCTTCATTTCTCAACAGGTTGTATAATTCGGTAACATCAAAGCAAGATCACCAAACAGGTGAAATATTTTCTATAAATCTATAAAAGCCTCATTTAAAAGCCGATGCAATACCCTCAATTTTTTTCAACGATTTTTCTCTTACGATCATTATTTGAAGAATTACGTTCATCGAAGGAAGCAAAAAACCATATTCTGATAATAATAACAAAAAGGCAACCATTTTTCCAAACTTTGAAGAATATATTCATTTGTTTTAAATTTTTCCGACCTTCAGGTACTGAACTTGGATTCTGAAACTGACGGAAAATGCAGAAAAATCAACTAATTAGCAAAATTAACAGGTAAATGATTCATGCTAACGCTCTCGTAATGGGAAATAAACTGGCCTATATAGAATGACGTCACGCGTAAGCGCTTAGGCCTTGTTGACGGTGGTGGCAAACCACCTTTACGTCTACGTGAGATGGTTCCAAAAATAACAGGTTAAGTCAGTCTGGAACGCTATTGTTTCAGCGGTTACGTTAAACACCGACCATCTCTAGCGAAAACGTTATCGACTGGTGTGGTTTTTAAAATAAAATAGGACAAATTATTACTGTCCATCTGTGGCCCTTTATCTTAGGATAAGTGGGCTGCCGCGAGGTGTAAGTTGACACGTCAGTCTACTTTATGGCTCATGTGCGGCTACGGGAAAAGCAATATGTATGTCATCGATCTAGACACAATTCCAGATCTTCCTCAAAATTTCAACAAAAAAGTTATTGTATTTCGTTTAAATCCGTTTACTCGAGTACATGTTGGGTAAATGTTATATATCTATTCGACTTTCTTTTAATTGCTTTTCACATTCTTCAAGAACCATCATCTTTTGCTTCTTCCGTATATATGGCTGTTCAATAGTATGCGATTCGCTGGGTTTCGCTTTTCAAGCTTTAGCGACTTATCTCTCATTATTTTGTTGTCTAGAACGCACAGAAACAATGTGTTAGATGTTGCTAGTGAAGTGTTTTTGCACAGAGGGATACCAGACGGCGGACCGTTTCTACTTTAAGCGTTGGAATTTATTTTGAACAAAATGTATAATATTTTCAGTACTTTCGTCCTTCATTCATTCATATTCAAATTCAACATGGGAGATAGAAATGCAATAATTTGCGTCTACATTTAATTTATTACGGAAACAACGTTTTTCGAAAATAGTAGCCGTGTTAGCCTACATTACAGAACGTCATTTTAAAATCTGCCATCATGCCTATTACCGTAAGAATTAAAATAAATTTGTTTAATAAACTACTTTTTTGTTGGTGGAAAACATCGGGACTCTCGTATCTTCCATCCTGCAGATAAATAGCGCCAAATTATAATCCCCTTGTCATTAAAATTTAAAAATGCCACCGCAAATAAATAAAGTACATGTTCATACATAAATAACGGCTCAACCGTTTTTCTAGGTTAAAAATTCGCTACGTCATGCCGACCGCTCGGCTAATTCTACGTGAGGAAGATGTGGTGCGACTTACATCGGAATTTCTACACAACCGGGAACTGCACATCACGCAGTTGAGTTTGGAGAGAGAGACTGGAGTAATTAATGGAAACTATGGGGATGATGTCTTATTTCTGCGGCAGTTGATATTGGATGGTCAGTGGGATGACGTATTGGAGTTCATCCAACCTCTAGAAACTCTTAAGACATTTGATATGCGCCGATTTACCTACACAATTTTGAAACACAAGGTGAGGATTTTTCTTGGTTTTTGATGAAAGAATGGTTCGTCAATTCGTGGTCGTTCGTATGCAATTGTCAAACGTTATGAGTCGATTTCAGGAAATGAAAATGTTTTGATCTTTTTTGATGTGAAAAACGAAAAAATTTGATCCCGGGTGGAACCTTTGAAATATGTTGAAATCAAGACAGAAAGAAAGTTTACATATACTATTATTAAATAGTATATTACGGTTCAAGAGACGAAAGCCGAAGTTTCGCCACTGCTTGAAGTTGACGCCAGAGGCGAAGCCGAATGCCTCATGCATGCAGTCGCGGGCCGTGGACTTTCGTCTCACGTACCATATACTTTTTTCTTGATATTCGGTGGAAACTAGAACTTGAAAAAAATGGCTTTGAAGATGTTGCCATTACCAGCAGATCAATTACACCATCGCAAGAACTCGATGTAAAGGCCCTAACTTCAACTAACTTAGGGACAGATCACAATCTAATCCTTTGTAAGTTACCAATGGTGTACCCACAAAGAATCAGGAAACCGCCAGTAAACAAAGAAAAATATAACATGGAGTCCATGGAATCAGACAGCCCTCGATTGTACGAAAATAGATTAATGCAAAAAATGAGTAAGATTGTGAGTAAGAAACAACGACAAGATTAAAAAACTAAAGAACAAAAAAGCCCCAAGTAGAGACGATATACGTTCTAAAATACGGCGATCCAGGGATTGCCGCAAGACTGACAACACTGTTAAACAAAATCTTGAGCACTACGTAAATCCCGAAGGTCTGGCACACCAGCATCACAACTCCCATATAGAAAAAAAGGCAAAAAACAAAGTCTGAAAACTACAGAGGAATAACTATACTTTGCTCAACAATGAAGTTGTTACAGGGTTGATCAAAGACAAACTAGAGGAGGAAATACGAACCAGAGAGGAACAACAAGATTTCAAAAAGAATAGAGCAACAACCGATGCCATATTCATTACTCAGCAAATAAAGGAAAACCCAAAACAGTACAATACACCAGCATTTATTTGCTTCGTCGACCTTACTAAGGCATTTGACAGAGTTCGTCTGGAAGACGCCATGAAATCGTAAAAGGAAAATAAGACTCTGGGAACATAGTAACAACGGTATGCAACCTTAACACTACCAGCAGAACGCAAATCAAATATGGAGAGAAAATTACATATATCATCTTCACGACAGGAGGAATTAGACATGAAGATAGCCTTAGTCCATTTTTATTCAACCTCCTGATGGACAAAATTATCGAAGAATCCATGAACTCAGGAAACATAATGAACAATAGAGCTATCAGCCTGGTCTGCTACGCTGACGACGCTGTAATATTCGCAGAAAGTGGGAATGACCCGCAGAGACAGTTATTTAGGTTCTACCAGATCAGTCAGCAACTCAATATGGACATATCCATAGGTAAAACGAAAACTATAACCGTCGCTAGGGAACCAATAGATAATAAACCCATAGAGCAGGTCATGCAATTTAGATATCTCCAGGGCTCACGACCGGGTAAAGAATCTGAGAAGTCAAATTAACAAATAAGCCATAATATCAGGATGTCTTAGGGAAACTGCATGGGCCAATCCTTATATGCAAAAGGAGAGTAAGGTCAAAATATATAAGATTTGCGTCAGGCCAATAATGGCGTATGGTATAGAAGCGAGAGAGAGAGGATACCAACAATACCAAAAGGATGCTACGAGTCGCCGAAATGTCAGTGCTGAGAACAGTAGCGGGGACAACAAGAAGAGACCACGACGTACGAATCACTGACATTAGAGCTCGATGCGACGTACTGGATGTGGTGAGATGGGGAAGGCGAGTGAGAAGAGAATGGTATAACCACGATAGGAGAAGAGAATCAGCGACGATAGACTACCACGCATTGTACTAGAGGGAAAACGAGCAGGAAGCCGTCCATCCGGAAGACCATCTAAGAGACGGAGAGACAGCTGGCAGTCCACATCTCAGGAAATAGTACGGAGGCAAGACCGGACTCAACAGATCATCTAGATCTTGAATAAGTAGAATACTCCTGATTTGTTCAATTTTGACCAAAACTGGAAATGCATGGTTTCCGCCCCGGGTCTTCAACTGTATCGACTTTTCGAGCAGTTAGTTGCAGCAACGGGACTCTGACGAATCAAATATATGCAGTTATGAACAGTGTTAAGGAGTTCAAGCACTCATTGAATATAAATGTTCCTAATGTCATATTTTAAGGACAAATCAAAATCTTGTACTTAAATTATTAAAAGCGATTTATTATTCATCAGCTATCATAAAACTGAAAATACAAGCACTAATCAATATATTTTTTTAGTATATCGAGCTGCTGTGTATCAAATCGGAGGCAAACGTGCAGGGATCAAGTGTGGATAATGCTGTTGAAGAGGTCGTCCACGTTTTGAGCAGTTTAGAGAAATTTTGCCCTACCAAAGAAGAATACTCTAATTTGTGTTTGCTGTTGACATTACCAAGGTAAGACTGAATTAATCATTGTAAATTTAGCAGCTTTAGCCACTAGTACTTCGGCGGCTGATTGCAAAATATATCGATATTGCATGTATACAGGGTGTCCCACAGGGGACCGCCGCGATCGACGTCACGACTCAAGTCAGTGGGAGCAAGTGATCGAAAATATTTTCAAGTTTGCCACACTTACGGTTATACCGGAAGTAGGTAGTGGTTATACCGGAAGTAGCTTGCTTATTTTAAATGGCACACCCTACATATTACATTTTTGAGTTCTACTTCAAATACTAAATATATTTCAAATATACTATCCTATACCTAAGTCTAACCGTTTTTGATACATTTGAAACTTTATGTTAAAAATTGCACTCGAATAATTATTCTTTTTTTCTATATACAGGGTGGTTTTTTTCTATCCTGAAACGCTTAAATACTTCGGAAACGAGTAATCCGAGGAAAAAATGTTTCAAATAATAAGTTAACATCTGGGAGGGAGAAGTTTATTCGTGTCAGAAAAACAACGCCTACTTCGACCTTGTAGGCTAGGCAGGGGTCAACTTGAGGATTTCAAATGGTAACCACAACATTTTATTGGAGATGCGAATAGTACGTCAGAAACTGGGAATAATTTATCTAAAACATTTTCTTCGATTTTGACAGGTGGCGCTGTAATCCATCAATTATCATTTTTTTGCTTTAGATCTACTGAACTATTATTTTATTGAAATTCTTAAAATTTTAGTGTGACCAAAAGCATCTATCAATGTCAGAGGAATATTCAGTCCGAAAATTGTTTGATGATGATCAAAACATTGAGTTTTTTTTTCTTTATTAATTTTATTTACTAAAACTAGTCAAGCATGACCAACCATCAGTTTTTATCTGTAATCTTAAAATTAGGGTAGTTAACCAAGTCAGTCCATTGACTTTCCAAGTTTTAGCCTCACAGAAGATTAACAATATTTACACGCACACCATGCTCTGCCCTTAAAACACTATATCAATTCAAAGGGCTTAGTTCTCTTCAATCTGCGGTATAAATTCTGATCATCTAGCAGCTGGCGGGCTTCTGCGTTCGGATGCAGCTGTAGCCTAGCTTGGTGTTTATTTGCATACCGTTTGATTGCCTGTTCAACAGTCAGGATTCCAAGGTCTCTGTGAAGATCATTATTTCTGACGAACCATGGGGCATTGGCTATTTCACGTAATGCCTTATTTTGGACCGTTTGAATCTTTTTTATGTGGGTGCTTTTTGTGCATCCCCATAGCTGAATACCGTAGAGCCATATAGGTTTAATAATTTGTTTATAAATYAAAAGTTTGTTATACAAAGTCATCTTGGAATCTGCCAATCAGCCATCTATATTGTGCAATTTTTATTTTCAACTCTTTTACTTTCTTTCTGACATGTTCATTCCATCTTAATTTAGTGTCCAAAATCCAAGGTATTTTGCAGTATTTGCATATGGGACGTCGGTTCCATTAATATTTATTACTGCGGGATCTGTCAAATTTTGGTTGGTAAAGTTGACATAGGTCGATTTAGTTTCGTTAAGTTAAATTTTCCACTTGGTGGTCCATTTATAAACAGCGTCCCTCGCTTTCTGCAGTTTCTGTGCGGCTGTTACTCGATTTGTGTCAGTTGACATTAATCCTATGTCATCCGCATATGTTGCTATTGTAACTTCTTTCGGTTGGGGTGTATCACTGGTAAAAAGTAAATACAGGACAGGCCCTAGAAGGCTCCCTTGTGGCATACCCGCTTGGATAGTAAGCTGATAGTGCTGAGTAAGCTCCTTCTTGCTTGATTCTGTGTGTCTTTTACATTGAGTTGAGAGAAATTTTCTATGACTTTGACAGCTTCATATTCAAAATACATTTCGAAATGTCACGTATTGGCAAATGCGAATTCTCAAACTATTAATGCTATATTTACATTAAACAAATAGATGTTTTGTTGATTTGGAGGTACATATTTGATTTTCATCAAATAATTTTCGGACCGAATATTTCTCTGACATTAATAGATGCTATTGGTCACACTAAAATTTTCAGCGTTTTAATTAAATAATAGATAGTTTAGCAGATCTAAAGCAAAATAAATGATAATTGATGAATTGCAGAGCCACCTGTCAAAATAGAAGAAAATGTTTTGGATAGATTATTCTCAGTTTTTGACGTACTATTCGAATCTCCAATAAAATGTTGTGGTTACCGTTTGAAATTCTCAAGTTGGCCCCTGCCTAGCCTACAAGGTCGAAGTAGGCGTTGTATTTCTGACACGAATAAACTTCCCCCTCCCAGATATTAACTTCTTATTTGAAACGGTTTTTCCTCGGATCACTCGTTTCTGAAATATTTAAGCGTTTCAAGATAAAAAAAACACCCTGTATATGTGCTTCTTAATTTGAGTCGCAATTCTGGTTGAAAGGGACTTACTTTAATGGAATTTTGACACAATTTTTATAACTATTATTACACAGTGTTAACGAAATAAGTTTCAAAATGACGTTGAGAAAACGTCCCAAAATTTTTTTCCCACATGGAAACTCGTTTTTGATAATTTTGTTTTATTCAGTATTAAAAATAAGTGTAAGTTTCTGTAAGGTTGTCTATTCTTAAAGTGTTTAGTTTTCGAAATATTGTCAATTTAATGTTTTCATGTGGCTGTTTTGCCGCATCTTATTTTAAATTTTGTCACTCTTATGACGAAAGGGGCCATTTTTAATACAATTGAATGCCAAAGGAATGTTGACAGCTGTCAGCTACCTTTAAAAAAAATTAATAATCGTGTCCGGACGCTTAAGTCATGCATTATGTCATCGAATATTATTTAAACTTATTTAATATTTATGGAGAATATTATATAAAGGGTGTTCCAATAAGAACGACGGTTTTGTATTGCGCGGCATTTGTAGTCTCATGATTTGACATTAACAAAAACGCTGTTCGTTAGAAGACAGCAGGAAGTTAAGTGAAATGGAGCGGTCCAATACACAACAACAAATTATCAGCGCTTCTCTTTTGCAACACGGAGCCACAACAAGTACAAAGTCATCTTTTCTCTAATTTATATTAAGGACTTTCTCAAATTTGCTTTAAAATACCTACAAAATTATTACCGTTGATTATAGGGAAGCAATTAACATAACCGTAACTGGTAAAGGGTGTTTCAATAAGAATGACGGTTTCTTGATTTTACATTAAAAAAAGGCCGTTCATTAGTAGGGCAGCAGGAGGTTAAGTAAAATGGAGCGGTTTAATACACAACAAGGAATTCTGATTGTGAAAAATTATTATCAAAGTGGTGGAAGTTTTGCAGCTCAGTACAGTTCACAAAATGCGTACAATTATGGGTCATCGAAATGCTCCAATTGAAGCCACCGTGAGAAAATTAATGAAAACATTTTAGCAAACTGGGTCTGTTAATGAAGTGAAAATATAAAGACGCGTTCGTCCTGGTCGCTCGACTGAAAGAATCGCAGCAGTACGTGCAAAACGTTAACTAACTTTTTTGTCTTAAAACTGCAAAATATGGATCTCAACAGCATGTGGTTTCAAGAGGACGGTGTAACATGACATACAGCCAGAGAAACTGTTGAATTACTGCACGAGTAATTTCCTGGTCGTGTTATTTCCCGTTTTGGAGATCGGCATTAGTCGCCCAGGTCATACGATTTAACGCATTTGGACTTTTTTCTTTGGGTTTTTTAAAGTTACAAGTTTTTGTGAACAAACCAACAACGATTGAAGCCTTAAAAGATTAAATTCAACGTTGTATCTTTGAAATACCGCAAAATTTATGTGCAACAGTCCTTGAAAATTTAATGAATTCATTCATTTCATCCTTTATAATACAAGCAGAGACTCGCCGAGATATGTGGACTTGAGCAGGAGCGTGAAGAAGACCATTGGAAAATACTGTAGAGCGTAAAATACGAACTTGATCAAGAAAGCCATTGAGAACAACAATATGAGAGTTTTGCGCTCCTGACTATCGAAGGGAAAAATTACAATACAGGGTGATTCAAAATTGGCATCATTCTTCTGGAGGTGTTGTATGGCGGTGTTTTAGGAGTGCAGAAAAAATAGTAAAAAAAATTAATTGGTATTAAAAACTGATAAATTAGCAATAAACTATATTACAAAAACGGCGACAATGTTTTTCAAGGTAATCTGCTTAATTAACATTATGTAAATACCTGTTGCTTCTTAATTATTTACAACTCTGGTAACTATGGATAAATAGAGAAAGTGACAATAAGATAGACAAGGATAAACGGTAAATTCAACAGGAATCGTTGAATGACGGAACCTATTTCGAAACTCATAACCCTGAATTATTAAATTGTGTACAAATTACAAAAACATACATTTGAGTCGGGAACTCCAAACAAGTGCCTGTGCATCCACCTTATTATGCACTTTTCTCGAGCAGCTTCTCGTATTCGGTTATTTAACTCCTGTTCAATTTATACCGGTGTTCAGTAATCCATTGGCTTAACTACAGATTGAAAAGTTTTACGGTGTCCTCTATGATCGGGCAACTGAGCGAAGGTCGGTGTGGAAATTAAGGGAAGAGGCCGAAGTCCAGGACTGGACGTCAACAGGATTAGAAGGAGGAAAAAAAGGGCATTTAAGTGCTTCAATTATTTGAAAATTTAACATCTTTTGCATCTGCTGTAGTTTCCACGATCCCTATATTAGTCATCGAAAAAACTCACCCTGTTTATTACATATATTCATAATTGCATCAATACATACGTATTTCTTACGAGTTTTGCGCTTCGTAGGCTGACTGATCATCTTCAATACAAAGACTGGAACCCATCCAATGCACGAGTACAATGTTTCCGGGATATTTTCCCACTAGTCGTAGAATTTCTACCAGGTGAGAAAAAAACGCCGGACTCCGCAGCGTGTTCCCGAAACGATCGACTGCTTCAATTAGTGATAAAAGGTATGTTTCAATTTTCACAAAGACAAAGAAAATAAAAAGCAACGTTAATAAAAGCTGTTTAATTAATGAAATTAATTTCAAAACGGTACGATGATATAGAGTTATTGAAATCTTATGAAAAAAAAGGGGTTTACTTGGGCAGTTGTTTAGTTTCGCAGCAAAGCTAGAACGCTCAGCGGTGGTATGCTGCCAAATATGCCTGGGTAACACTGTGTTGAGTTGCGCTATTGAGTTGTTGCCACTCTCTTAGTTAACGAGTTATAACTCATCGGTTAATGAGTTATAATTCATTTCTTAAAGCTATACGAGACCCGAGACTTGAATTTTCACATCTAAAAAAGGATTATTAACATTTTTTCTGAGTAACGTTTTACTACTTTTTACTACGTTACTACAAAGTTACGTTTTACTACAAACATTCATATTCAAACAACTTAAAAAAATAAACTAGATTTTCCCAGCAACAGAACTGAGTCCAAAGAAAGTCGACGAGTTTTCCTGTAAAATTGATCTCTTCATTTTTTTGAATAAAATATTCAGGTTGCCAGTAATTTACAGTAAATAGTTAGGTTTTTCTGTTTAGAGACAGCTTTGTTTAGAAACATTGATCTAAAAGTGAAGAAATTCCAGTTTCCAAGAGTTTTTCAAATAAATGATTATAAACTTTCGCTTTTTCAGTTCGGGGAAGTATTTTTGGAAAAGACCTAGAAATTATTATTAGGGTTTTGTCCATAATTCGAACCTGAAAAAATGTTTGGAAAACTTTTAGATGAAAGAAGGAAAGAAAAGCGGTTAAGGAGGCGAGTGTTCCAATAAAAATTATATTTTTATAAGTGGTTTTTTTAAGATAGTCCTAATATCTTTCGGTAAAAACTGGATACAATTATTTGGTTTTTCTGCCAAATTCGAAGCTGAAAAGTTTTTTCTTTCTAAAGTTCCCTGCATACCGATGAATGGGTCGAAATTTGTGGCAAAATTAATTTTGTTACTTTTGACTGAAAACACCTTATTATTTTTACAAACTTCTTTTTGGGTATTTCGCCTCAAAAATTTTTGTCTTTAAAAAAGACAGAATTTCCTCACGTCTTTTATTACAGATTGATAAA